CAAAACCAAGAATAGGATTTTAAAAATTGAATAGTCAAAATGGTGAGGATTATTTTATTGGAAAATGATTCTATTGTTTTAAAGGCAATAATTATTCCTTCAAAGTTGTGGGAACTGCTAGCATTTCTTTGAGGTCTGCACTCAACACAAAATGGCAAATTAAGATCCCTAAAAATGATCTATTGTGTGTCTCATCAAAGATGGTAGAATGCCTATTAGCCAGTCAGCATTATTGAATACTTCATATATAAGCTATATATCATCATCATCAATCATTAATAAATCTATTAGATATTTATGTGTAAGGCACTGTTCCAGTGTGGTGACTTGGTGAGAAAGTCTTCACACAAAGAAAGAATTATGTGCCTAAAAACATAAAAAATTCGTGGAAGAGCAAACCATTCAACCTGTGTCTAGCTGTGGTGTTGTGAAGTGCATTGTAGGTACTTTCTGTAGTGCTATCTTGCAAGGCTAATGCTGAATACCAAACAGGCCACATTTCCCTCAGTACGTGATTTCATCTAGAATCTTGGATTTATTCACATTTTTTTTACCAGTACAGTATTTTTGTTCTGCCTGATTGACATCCTTCATTTAAGTTTGTATTTATTTTGATCTCCAAAGTACATTGTTCTCATTTGAAGGGGATCCTTCAGTTCTAATATTCTGAAATTTGATGAAAAGTTATGTATTTAACTTTTCACAGCTTCCATTATATTTTAGACTTTAGGCATAGTCTTTTCAGGATTCATCTTTCCCACTGAAAATTTCTAATCCTTTTAGCTTATTCTCCTGTGAATGCTGTTTTACCTGCTTTATTATTTTGGTTTCTTTTCTGTGGACTCTTCCTCCTTTACAGTAGTATTACGGTGAAGCAGCCCAGACTACTAAGTAAAGATGCTCCATAGTTTTATAGAAGTCATAGAGTAATATTTTTATCCGTTTTCAGTACCTTTCTCTATAATGCTAAGATTTTTCTTTTTCATTGTAGAAGTATCTTGGGCTGATATGTTCTGGGAATTATAAAAACAATTCTACCTCTCCTTTCCTACATGACAACTGATAGTTCCTTTATATATTTATATTAGTGTTTTATGTTAGCCTGATTTAAATAGGTTTCTTCTTTGCACTTGTCCACATGGAATTTTGACATTTGTTCCATTCACTTTCCAAACTTTGTACATTACTGTGAGGTTTTTACCATTCAGTTCAGCATTCTGCTGCCTTCAGTTGCTTAGGATGAATTAAAAAATAGGAAATTCCATTTTTTCACTTCTTCCAAAGCATAGCAAATAAAAATATGACTGATCCTGAAATAATGTTTTAGAAGAATACAGGATAAAATGGAATTGCTCACAATATTACTAAGTGGGAAACAAAAAGAGTTTTCAAAATAATGTGTACAATGTGTACAGTGTATTCTGATTATAAGGAAAACATATTTATTTATATATATGCAGAAAAGAAAAGACAACTAATATAGAAAAAATGCTAATGATGGTTTTTCCTAAATGATAAGATTACAGGAGTATACTATACTATTCTCCGTTTTCTGCAGTTAACATATATATTTGATGATCAGAAAAAAGCAGTCTAGTCTAGACACATGTACCTCAGGGATACCATTACTAATATATACCTTTTGGAAGGTCTTTTATTTTCAGTCTTTACATTTGTTATGTCTCCATGATTGCTTAGACTTTGTTTTGTGTGTGTGTGTGGTTTAAGTTTTTGATGTGTGGAATTTTTTCAAAAGTTCTTTGGAAGTCTAAAATTGTGCTCACTGCAAGCTAATGGATTAACCATTCCTCAAAACAATGGATTCAACTAGATTAGTAAAGCCGGACATCTGATAGAAAACATGCTGCTTTCTCTGCCTGGTTATCTTTAATTTTGTGTTCTCATGATTTTTATTTTACCCACTTGCCTGATTTGGAAGTGAACATTACTTGCTCATAGTTCTCCAAATTTCCTGTCGGAATTGTACTTTTTATACTAATATCTGCCTTTCCGTGTGGTATCCATTGCTGTTGTTGTTAGGTGCTGTTGCGTTGGTTCCAACTCATAGTGATCCTACATACAACAGAACAAAACACTGCCCGATCCTGCGCCATCCTCACAATCATTGTTATGTTTGAGCCCATAGTTGCAGTCACTATGCCAATCCATCTCATTGAGGGTCTTCCTCTTTTTTGCTGACCCTTTACTTTACCAAGCGTGATGTCCTTCTCCAGGGGCTGATACCTCCTGATAACATGTCCGAAGTATGTAAGACATAGTCTCACCGTCCTTGCTTCTAAGGAGCATTCTGGTTGTATTTCTTCCAAGACAGATTTGTTCATTCTTTTTGCAGTCCATGGTATATTCAGTATTCTTTGCCAACACGATAACTGAAAGGTGTCAATTCTTCTTCGGTCTTCCTTATTCATTGTCCAGCTTTCATATGCATATGAGGCAATTGAAAATGCCATGGCTTGGGTCAGGTGCACCTTAGTCTTCAGGGTGACATTTTTGCTTTTCAATACTTCAAAGAGGTCTTTTGCAGCAGATTTGCCCAATGTAAGTCGTTTTGATTTCTTGACCACTGCTTACCATGGGTGTTGATTGTGGATCCAAGTAAAATGAAATCCTTCACAACTTCGATCTTTTCTCTGTTTATCATGATGTTGCTGATTGGTCCAGTTGTGAGGATTTTTGTTTTCTTTATGTTTTTATGTTGAGGTGTAAGCCATACTGAAAGCTGTAGTCTTTGATCTTCATCAGTAGGTGCTTCAAGTCTTCTTCACTTTCAGCAAGCAACTTTATGTCATTTGCATAACGAAGGTTGTTAATAAGTCTTCCTCCAATCCTAATGCCGTGTTCTTCTTCACATAGTCCAGTTTCTCGGATTATTTGCTCAGCATACAAACTGAATATATATGATGAAAGGATACAACCCCGACACACACCTTTCTTGACTTTAAACGATGCAGTATCCCCTTGTTCTGTTAGAATGACCGCCTTTTGGTCTATGTACAGGTTCCTTATGAGCACAATTAAGTGTTCTGTAGTATCCATACATGGTTGCAATTCCATTTTATAAATTCAGCAGCCAAAGAATGGGTGTATTTGAGTTCTCTAGGTTAGACTGTCAGATATAATCATTTTTTGATCACTTTTATGGAGTAGCTGTTTCCCTTGGATTTCTCTTGGTGTCGTTCCTTTTCTGTATGCAGAACCAAGGCTGATGTATTTCCTGTTTTGATGGGTTCCCAGGCTAGTTTACTATAGAAAGCAGTCTTCTCTTCTTATCCAAAAATCTCATCTACATATGCAGTTTCAGTAAATGAATCTTCCCATTTTTGATGTACAGTTGGAATTCCATATTACTTGCCACCTTTTAAATTTTTTCATTAAGACCAATTGCGCTCACTTAAAGATGTAAGTACTAACGGGATCTGAATGTATTAGAACGTGCAATTTCTGTAACTAGATATGTTTCCAACAAACTAATGACATAACTCTGCAACCTACGATGGTCTAAGTTAACGACAGAATCAAAACAATTTGTCAAGTTAAGCTTAATTTTTATTCATGATTTTAATTTGTAGACTTGAATCATCTTATTCACCTTGTATTAAAGAACCAGAAAGGAAAAGGAAAGAACTGTTTTCAGTGGCTCCAGATCAACCAAATCATGGAAAGGAATTGAACAAGGTATGGAAAATAATGAGCTTCATCCTTCTAGGTAGATCTAAAGTCTTTGAATATAAAGGGGAGAAAAATCTTGCCTCTCACTCCCTTCCTTTTCCTTCTATAGTTTCTTCTAAGATAATAACCTATCAAGCTGTTGATCCCTACATTCTTCGTGTGGTACTATAAAAAACACAAACCTTAAGTCATCCTACTGTCACTGGAGACTGCCCCCTGAGATCTGGAGGGCCCATGGCTCCATGAGAAGTGGTTTATAGCAAGGATGTTGAGAGCACAGACTCTGGTGCTCAGCCACATATTTAGTGCATAAGCTTGGGGAAGCTGCCTATGCAGCTCATTTCCAGGATGGGGATAATTAGTACCTACCTCATATGGTAGTGATGAGGATTAAATGAACTATTAACAGCTACCACTTAAATAGCGCTTTTACTGCATGCCAGGAACTGTTCAAAGGGTTTAACAAATCCTAATTCATTTATTCCTCACAGCCATCCTATGAGTTAGATATTAATATTGTCCCCCTTTACATTTGAGAAAACTAAGGCACAGAGAAGTTAAGCAACTTGACCCAGCATTACACAGCTAAGTGGCAGTTGCCAGATTTGAACCTAAGTGGTCTGGCTCCAGAATCCATACTCTTTCTCTTAGTTAAAATCCATGAGATAATGCATATAAAGTGCTTAGAATAGGGCCTGGCTTAGAAGAAGCACCTAGTCAGCATTGGCTGCTATTATTGTTGGTTATATCCACATTTTTTCCTTGAGTGCCTAACATGTGCCAAGAACTCTGCCAGGAGCTTAGGAATACAAGGAGGATTAAGACCTGGGCAATGTCCTTGAAGAGCCTCTGGTTTTCTATTCTACAAAAAAAAAAAAAAAAAAAGTATTCTCTTCTCCCCCAGTAAAATCCAGTAATGCCTTTCTTTTCCCATGAGTTTACTGCAGATCATATTTACCTCTCTAGCCTTTGGGTTTGAGGATCAGAATGTTCAATACTATATAATCTAGACAATTGTTAAATGTAAGAAAAAGCTGGGCATGGCTTTGACTTATGATCTCGTGCCTTGCTCAGTGCCTGGCACACAGTAAGGGAAAACATTAAGGCTAGGTTCTCTCATAATTGTGTAGGCTCATAGACAGAGCTGTTGTATAAATTCAACAAACATTTATACTGAGCATCTAGTAGGACTATAACTGTTGTCTTAATTTCTGTAGGAGATACAATCGTGAAATACAGATCTCGTCTCCCAAAGAGTAACTGTCAAGGAACTGTTAGAGGTTATGTGTAGGAAGATGTTATGAATTAATGATTATCTTCTTTATATTTTGAACACTTTATACCATGTAATTCCATGAAAGTGATTTTACTGATAATTAAAAATATAACTTAAAAAAAAAACCTGTTCTTCCCTGGTGTCCCAAGTGAATGCATTATGATAAAAAAGATAGATGAAAGCGAACTAAAGTATAGTGACACTGTTCTGAACCTCATAGAAATAGATAGGGTAATAAAACTTTGAGTAATGTGAAGAATCTACTAGTTTGCACAGTTTTGCTATGGAACAAGAGACTATGAGGCACAAATCTCTCTATAGGTTCTTGGAGACCACTAGATTGTGCAATGTTGTGCAGAAAAGGTAACAAATGGATTGCATATAAATAGCTACAGCTTCCAAGAAGTGTTTGTGGGAGAGCATTTTCATTCTCTTGTAATAAAACCAACAAAAGCCATGACTCCTACAAGTGTTTAATTTTCCTTCTCTTTTTTCAGTATAAAGCTATTTTCAGTAATTCATTTTATGATAAAATAGGCATTTTTAATAAAGATAAAAGTCGTTTGGAGCTCAGATAAATTAATCTCATTTAGAAAGAAGCTTTGCAGTATAGCATGTTGCTTTAATATTGAAATGTTGTAAAATAATAAAGTTTACTCCTTTTTCATAAGAGTGTATTTATTTTTTTACACTTTTAAAGTTTCATTTTAAGAGGACCATGTTAAGCTACTCCCGTCAGGGACCTACTAGAGGTTAAATATAGAAAAGGCGTTAGGAATTAATGATTATTTTCCTTATATTTTAAACCCTTTTTTTTCCTCCTCATCTGGCTTCCTTTTTTTTTTAGTTTTGATGAAAATATACACAACAGAACATACACCGATTTAACAATTTCTCCATGTACAATTAAATAACATTGATTACAGTCTTCCATATTTTGAACACTTTTATACCACATAATCCCATGAATCCAGACTGAGACAAACTTTACAAAATAAATAATGCCATTGCCTCATCAAATAAATTGTAAGGGAAAACACTGGAGATAGAATGGACAGATTAAAATAAACTTGTAATATTGTCCTCGGGGTTAGAATATTTAGCTTTAGTCTCCTAGTCTCCTCCCTTGCTCTCAGGATGAATAATTTAGGCCAGTCACTTTCCATCCCTGTGAGTCTTTTCTTTGTTTCGTCTGTAAAATGCTGAGATTTGACCATGTGATTTCTAAAGTCATGTCCAACTCTGAAATTCTAAAAAATTTAGTAGTAAGAATAGATTCAGATGAAGGGATGGTGGCCTAAAGCCTGACGACGGATCAAATTTGCCTTCTGGACACGTGCACATTCATGTTAGGTCATCCCACACTAGGCATCACTCCTAGAACCCAGCTTTTTCTGAAGAGTGAACCACCTTCTAGGGCTCGACCCACAAGAGGTGGCATACTACAATAGGTAAGGTCACAGGTTCTGAAATCAGACCACATTTCACCCATAATTTTCTAATCTGCAAAATAGAGTAATAATGGCCCTGACCTCACAGAACTGTTGTGGGGACTAAATGAAATGATGCATGGAAAGTACTTAGAACACACATAAAAATGTGTTGACCATAGTTAGATTCTGTTTCAAATAAACAAACTCAAAAAACATTTATTACATTTTGGAGCAAATTTTAAATGTGAATACTGACTGAATATTTGATGATATTAAGGAAATATGGTTAAGTTTTTTAAGATATGATGATAGTATTCTGGCTATGTTTTTGTTGTTGTTATTTTTTATTGTACTTCAGGTGAAGGCTTACAGAACAAATAGTTTCTCATTAAACGGTAGTACACGTATTGTTTTATGACATTGGTTAACAACCCCACAACATGTCAACCCTCTAACTTCTCAACCTTTTTTTTTTTGGTGAAAATACACATAGCCAAAGATACACCATTTCAAAAATTTCTACATGCACAGTTCAGTGACATTGACTACGCTCTTCCAATTGTGTTGTTATTCTCACTTAAGATGAAGGCTTACAAAACAAAATAGTTTCTCATTTAACAGTTACTACAAATGTTGCCCTATGACAATGGTTAACAATCTCACAACACATCAACAATATCCATACTCAACCTTGGGTTCCCCATCACCAGCTTCCTTGTCCCCTTCTGCCTTCTGGCCCTTGTCACTGGACTACTGTACCTCGTTAGTCTAATTTGGTTTTACAGGGCTGTCCACTCCCAGGCTGAACGGTGAACCTTGGAGATAACTTCACCACTGAGCTAAAAGGGTGTCTGGGGGCCATACTCTTGGGGTTTCTCCAGTCCCCTTTAGGCCAGTAAATCTGGTCTTTTTTTTTGTGAGTTAGAAGTATGTTCTACATCCTTCTCCAGCTCTGTCCAGACCCTCTGTTGTGATCCTGGTCAGAGCAGTCAGTGGTGGTAGCCTGGCACAATCTAGCTGTACTGGACTCAGTCTGGTGGAGGCCTTGGTAGCTGTGGACAATTAGTCCTGCGGACTAATCTTTTCCTTATATCCTGTTCTCTTCATTCTCCCTTGTATGTGGTTTTTTTTTTAAGAGTCTTTTTTTTTTTTAAAAGAGGTATACTGGAAGGTTTAAAGATGAAATGGAAAAAAAAAAAAAAACCAATTTAACAAGTAAGTGCTCTGAGGTAAATTCATATAAATCTCTTTGTGGATGGCCTCTACTTCGCTCTCTAGCCTTATTTCTCACAGGACTTTGAAGGCCCAGCCACTTCAAACTCCTTTTAGTTCACTGAGTAAGCCCTGCTGTATCTTACTGCATCCTTTGCCTGGGAGCCCTTCTTCATCACTATCTCCTGACTGACTTCATTCATCCTTCAGTATTCAGTTCTGATGTCCCCCTCCTCTGGGAAGTCTGTCCTGACATCTGCTTCACTATATACCCTTGACATCTATTACTACACTGTGTTGTAATTGTCTGTTTATTTTTCTGTTTCTTTTATTAGACTGTGATTTTTTTTTAGGTCAATGATTGTGTACTTATCTCTGAATCTCAAGAATTAGGAACAGTGAATGGTGGGGAGAACAGTTGGAGGTGTTTGTTCAAGAAAGATGTTGAGAGGCTGTACTAAGACAGTGGTTACAGGAATAAAGAGCAAAGGCCTGATTTAAGAGAGGTTGAAGTAGAATGGACAGAATTTGCTGCCCGATTGGATTTGGGAGGATGAGAGTGGAGTGGAGTCCAAGATGATCCAGAAGTTTCTAAATGCAATGGTTAGCCAAGATTAAGAGTGTAAGAGACTACAAAGGCTTAAGCAGGGGAGGAGGTGATGCATTTTTGTAGATACATTAAGTTTGAAGATTATTGTAACATGATTCTGAAAAGCATAATTAGTATCAGTCATAAAGTGCAGCATAATTTAGTCCAAGAATTATGAATTCAAGGCCAAGCATCCTCAATTCTAGTCTCAGTTCTGTCAGTTATTAGCTTTATGACCTTAAGCAAGTAACTTAACCTCTCTAAGCCAAATTTTTCTCCATTAAAAGGGTTTGATAATACTTTCTCCACCTTCCAGTTAAGGTAGGTGTCAAAAAAATATGTGACCATGGCCAGTAAAAGCTTTAAGCGGCTCTATAAATAAAATAATTGTTAATATTTCCTGGAATATATCTGCTGCAGATAAGAAGCCAGCTCTATCAGGAGGAAGAGTACCAGAGCTCTGAGCAGGAAAGAATGAGGAATGAAATCTCTGACCTAACAGCAGAGCTTCATCAGAAGGAGATCACTATAGCAACTATCATGAAGAAAGCTGCCCTTCTGGAAAAAGAGCTAAAAACGGAGTTAGAAATAAAAGAAAAAATGCTAGCAAAACAACAGGTATGCGAGCAGGCAGGACAGCACCTGTCCTAGGCAACTTTCCTGCTCAGTGCTGATAATAGCTCTCATTATTGGCTAATAAAGGTATTGCTTTTCTCAGCATTGTTTCTAAGACTAGCATCACAGAAATGCTTAGTGGCATTACATATAATCTTTGTGACATTTAAAAAAAAAAGTGCTAGCACAAGATAATTAAATCATATTGTAACATTTTCCTGTAGTCAGTACTCTGATCACTTCACATAGTATGATCTAGTCAAAGATTTCTTCCTGAATTTGTTTTCTATAGCTTCCCTTCCATTGACATTTTTATCTTTAAAAATCTATATTCCAGCTTTTCTTAGACACTTCCCACTGCCCCATCTCACATACTTATTTTAGAAGTTAAAAATGAATGTCGAAATATGAAAATCAGTTCATATTTACTTAACATTCACTCAGTGCACAGCATGGTACATGGGGAAAAACAAGCATTGTAACATTCTGCTGTTAAAATACTGCAAGTAACTTCCAAATTCATCATTCAACCGTCCTTCCTTTCTTCTTCCCTTCCTCCCTCTTTTCCTCTTTCCCTCCCTCGTCCCTCTCCTCTTCATCCTTCCTCCTTCCCTTCCCTTCCCTTTCTTCTTCCTTCCTTCTCTCTATTTTTAAAATCCCTCAATTCCTTATTCATCATCAAATTGGTGAGCTGCTGTTGAAAGCATAGGATGTATCTGCTTCTTTCCTCCAAATCTAGACGTTTTCAGAGCTCTGTTCAATACCTTTCTAGGCATATGAGGATCACTTCACACATAGCACAGCTATTTAAATCCTGTTCATTATAAAAACAGAAGAGATTCAGCTTTGCCCAATTATTAGCTTTCAACTGTGATTAATTCATACATTGCACAGGAAAACAGCACAGACAGCGTCTTGGTTATTTAGTGCTGCTGTAACAGAAATACCACAAATGGGTGGCTTTAACAAACAGAAATTTATTTTCTCACATTTTAGCAGGCTAGATATCGGAAATTAGGGCACTGGCTCTAGGGAAGGCTTTCTCTTTCTGTCAGTTCTGGGGGATGGTCCTTGTCTCTTCTCAGCTTCTTTTCCTTGGCTCTTTGGTGATCTTCATGTTGGCATGGTATCTACCTTCCCCCATCTCTGTTCTTTTGCTGCTTGCTTAATCTGCTCTTTTTATATCTTAAAAGAGGTTGATTTAAGACACACCCTACACTAATACTGCCTCATTATCACAACAAAGAAAACTCATTCCCAGATGGGATTATAACCACAAGTACAGGGGTTGGGATTTACAACACATTATTTTGGGGGGACACAGTTAAATCCATAATAGACAGGCTATACCTGCATGGGAAAGAATATTTTACATCAGGTGTTAACAATGATCTGAGTAGTTGGAATACGAATGATTTTTATTTGCACCTTTACACTCTTCTGTATTTTCTAGGTTTTTGTCAGTGAGCCTATATTTTATAATGCAGGAAAGTAAATCTTTTTAAGGGAAGTGTTTTATATAGAAATGAGCCTAGATAAATAAAAAGGCAGATAATACTATGTCTAAGTACCATCAAGTAGAAGAAATCAGGAAAGGAAAAATAAAATAGGAGACAAAATGAAGCAGTCACATTAAAAAAGTAGGAAATTTGGCAGAAATTCTACAAAGAACAGAATTAAGCATGAAAGTCATATATTGTGCATTGTAAAAATTAGGTAGTGAAGAAATTTAATGGACAGTGTTATTCAAGCATGTTTTAAAAATTGTGATTGGTGATAAAATGCATATAATAGAAAAGTAAGTGAGAAATGGAATTTTTGAATTGGAAGGGAAAAAAGTAAATGAGTGATTATTGTAAGTATCTGTCTCTAAGTTAACACTGATACAGAAAAGGGGAGTAAAGTCGGGCCTGCCAAAGTTTTAAGATAGGATAGAAGAACTGAACAAGAATACCTGATTTATGATGATCATGCCTAATAAGAAAAATGTATCTCTTCACCAACACTTCAAAAATACATGTATTGACAAAAATAATAATAATAATTTGAATAGAATTTTAAGTTTTTTTTAGATGAATTTTATATTCACCTAGTAATCTTCTTTCAGGTCTCAGATGTGAAATATAAAGCTGTCAGAACGGAAAACACACATCTGAAAGGAATGATGGGAGATTTGGACCCTGGACGGTACATGGTAATATGCTGAAATCATTCAGTAAATTGAACAAAGAGATTACTTAGTTGGTCAAGATTTACCCAGACATCATTTACTTCCTACATGTTGCAGGAGTTGGGGTGGCAAATAATTTTGTACTTCAGTTGAATTTCTGGTTTTCACTCCTATGTTCTTTTCTTAGATTGGGGTCAATTCTGATCATTTCTCCAAACATTCCAAACATGCTATAGCTTAGCTTTTGCTCTTGTGTTTCATCTGAAATCCTACATCCTATGTGGCCCCATTCAAGTGTCACCCTTTCTTTCCATGAAGCCGTCCCTGAAATCCCAGTCAAAATAAATTGTTCCACCTATACTTGGTTTGTATTTCAGTCTGACTTGTTTTATAGCTTGTCACTTTCCCACTGGATGGCAGGCTCCTTAGGGATGGGGACCATGTTCTATTAATGTTTGCATCACCAGCACCTCACAGCACAAGGGTACAGTAGGTGTTCAGTTGCATGTTGATTGAATAAAAAGAGAGATGAATAAATTAATGATTGAGGATAAGAAGTTCTCGCTTTAACCAGGGGTTCTACAGGTTTACACAAGAGAACTTACATAGGCTGTATGCCTTCCATGTCAATGGTTGCAGATAACACTCCAGGGGTGATTTTTATATATAAATACTAGAATTTTTTTTAATTGAACTAATGAAATATTGTTGATTGTTTAGCATTTATTTCTCTGAAATAAAATAATTTTTTACCATCTGAGGAATGGAGAGGATAAGAGATGAGTATGGTAACTACTTTACCTGGCCTTAGGTTTCTCAGTTGTAAAATGAAGGAGTTGGATTAGGCACTCTCCACAGTCCATTCTTAGGCCATGAAACTATTAAAAAAACCAGTTTCAGTCAAGTCTACCCTGACTCATGGTGACCCCATGTGTGTCAGAGTAGAACTGTGCTCCATAGGATTTCAGTGGTTTACTTTTCAGAAGTAGATTATCAGGGTGATATTATGAATAAATAGAAATATATACCCATGCAAATTATATAATTTGTTATAAACTGAATTATAATTTACATACTGGAAATTTTAGTGCAGTTTTTTTTTTAAATTTTTTGCTTGCTTCCCTTCTCCCCCTTTCCTCCATTCCTCTACCCACATCATACTCCATCCACCAGCTAACCCATTAACTACCCACTGTGTTATTTTGTACTCTCCCCCTCATTCTTGTGTGTGTATTTCAGCACACACACACACACATACCTGTTAGGAGTATTTTAAAAATTAGATCGTATTACATACACTTCTCTGGTCTCTCTTTTGTTCACTCAGCAATATCCCTTGGAAATCCTTCAAAGTCCACTGGTTTAGGTCTATTTCATTCTTTATAATGGCTTAATAATATTCCATAGTGTAGATGTATCAAAAGTTATTCAACTGATTTTCATAATTAATTCAACCATAGTTTATTCAACTGTTCCCAGATTTTTGCCTGAATGAACAATAGCATAAAAATTATCCTTATATATATATCTGGGAATAGCTTCCTAGGACTGGGATATTCAAAGGATATATGTGTATGTTTTCATTTTAATAGCTATTGTCAAATCACGTTTCTACTGTCTCTTTAGGAGAGTATACCTTTTTCTTTCATCCCTACTAGCAATAGGTGTTACTGTTCTTTTTAATTTTTGCCAGTCTGATGAGTATAAAGTGTAATCTCAATAGTACTTTAATTTGCATTTCCCTGACTAAGGTCAGTACCTTTTTGTATATTTATTGGCAATGAGTACTAATATGAATTAGTTATATCCTTTGCTCATTTTTCTGCTAGATTATTTGTCTTTTAAATCTGTTGCTGGGAACTTTGTTTATGATATCTTTTGGCCATACAAAAAGTTTTAACTTTTATTTGTCAAACGTGTCTTTTTGTTTATAGCTTCTTAGTTTTCTTGAATAACAAAGTTCCCCTTCCCCACTACCACTTCCAGATGGTTATATATAGTCTCTTGGATTTTCTTCAAAGATTTTTATATTTTCCATCTAAGGTTTTTTGTTTGTTTGTTTGTTTGTTTTGAGATTGTCTTTTTCATCTAAGTTTTTCATCTATTTGAATTGTAGTTTTACATATGTTACATGATAGGAGCCCAATTTAAATTTTTATATGAACATTAAACTAGGATTATACAGTTTCTCCTGATAACTTCCTGTTGGATTCTATTTGGAATTAAATTAAATTTCCATATTAACTTTGAAAGAATTGACATTTTTATAATAGTAAATTTTCCCATCCAATAATATGACATGGCTTTTTATACCTTATTTTATGTTCTTTAATAAGATCTTACAGTTTCCTTTGTATATGTTCAGTGCCTTTCTTTTTAAATTTATTCTAAGGTGTTTTATAATTCTTTTCACAATTATGAATGGACTGTTTTCCTTTTTCCATATCTATGAGCTTATTGCTAATGTTAAAGAATTATCTTATTAATTCTAGTAGGCTTTTTACTAGAGTTCCTTTTTTTGGGTTTTTTTTTTTTTGAGATATACAATCATATCAACCAAAAAAAAAATTTTTCTACCTACCTAAACTAACACAAACTAAGGTAGAAAAACTAAACAGACTCATAAAAAAAGAAGAGATTGAAGAGGTAATTTTTAAAAAACGCCCAACAAAAAAAGCCCCAGCCTGGACGGCTTCACTGGAGAATTCTACCAAACTTTCAGAGAAGAGTTAACACCACTACTACTCAAGCTGTTTCAGAGCATAGAAAAGGAAGGAATACTCTTGAACTCATTCTATGAAGCCAGCATAACCCTGATACCAAAGCCAGGCAAAGACACCACACACAAAACGAACTGCAGACCAATATTCCTCGTGAACATAGATGCAAAAATTCTCAACAAAATTCTAGCCAAAAAAATTCAACAGCATATCAAAAAAATAATACATCATGAACAAGTGGGATTCATACCAGCTATTCAGGGATGGCTCAACATTAGAAAATCAATCAATGCAATCCATCACATATATAAAACAGAAGAAAAGAATCACATGAACATATCAATCGACACCAAAAAAGCATTTGACAAAGTCCAACACACATTCCTGATAAAAACTCTCAGCAAAATAGGAATAGAAGGGAAATTCCTGGACATTATAAAGGGCGTTTATACAAAACCAACAGCCAACATCATTCTCAATGAAGAGAGACTGAAAGCATTTCCCTTGAGAAAGGGGACCAGACAGGGTGCCCTTTATCACCACTCTTAATCAGCATCATGCTAGAAGTCCTAGCTAGAGCAGTAACAAGAGAAAAAGAAATAAAGGGCTTCCAAATTGGTAAGGAAGTGGTAAAATTATCGCTATTCACAGATGGTATAATCTTATACACAGAAAATCCCAAAGAATCCACAAGAAATCTACTGGAACTAATAGAAGATTTCAGCAAAGTAGCAGGATACAAGATTAACATACAAAAATCAGTTAGATTTCTTTACACCAACAAAGAGAACTTCGAAAAGGAAATCACCAATCACCATTTACAGTAGCCCCCAGGAAGATAACGTACTTAGGAATAAATCTAACCAGGGAAATAAAAGACCTATACACTACAAAACTACAAAACACTACTGCAAGAAACCAAAAGAGACCTACATAAGTGGAAAAACATACCATGCTCAAGGATAGGAAGACTGAACATTGTGAAAATGTTAATACTGCCCAAAGCAATCTACAGATATAATGCAATCCCGATCCAAATTCCAACAGCATTCTTTAACGAGATGGAGAAACAAATCACCAACTTTATATGGAAAGGGAAGGAAAAACAAACAAATAAACAAATCCATTGCCGCTGAGTCGATTTCAACTCATAGCGACCCTATAGGACAGAGTAGAACTTTCCCATACGGTTTCCAAGGAGTGGCTGGTGGATTCAAACTGCCAACCTTTTGGTTAGCAGCCAAACTCTTAACCACCAGGGCTCTATGCCACCAGGGCTCTGGAAAGGGAAGAGGCCCTGGATAATTAAAGTGTTATTGAAGAAGAAGAACAAAGTGGGAGACCTCACGCTACCTGATTATAGAACCTATTATACAGCCACAGTAGTCAAAACAGCCTGGTACTGGTACAACAACAGACACATAGACCAATGGAACAGAATTGGGAACCCAGACGTAAATCTATCCATCTATGAGCAGTTGATATTTGAAAAAGTTCCAAAGTCCATTAAATGGGGAAAAGACAGTCTCTTTAACAAATGGTGCTGTCATAACTGGATGTCCATCTGTAAAAAAATGAAACAATCCATATTTCACACCCTACACAAAAAACTAACTCAAAATGGATTGAAGACCTGAATATAAAGCCTAAAGCGATAAAGATCGTGGAAGAAAAAATAGGGACAACACTAGGAGCCCTAACACATGGCATAAATAGTATACAGACTATAACTAACAATGCACAAATACCAGAAAAGAAACTAGATAACTGAGAGCTCCTAAAAATTAAACACTTATGCTTATCAAAAGACTTGACCAAAAGAGTTAAAAAGGAACCTACAGACTGGGAAACAATGTTTGGCTATGACACATCCAACAAGGGTCTTATCTCTAAAATCTACAAAATGTTTCGACACCTCAGTAACAAAAAGACAATCCAATTAAAAATGGGCAAAGGATATGAACAGACAATTCACCAAAGAAGACATTCAGGCTGCCAAGAGACACATGAGGAAATGCTCGTGATCATTAGCCATTAGAGAAATGCAAATCAAGACTACAATGAGATACCATCTCACCCGACATTACTGGCACAAATCCAAAAAACACAAAATAACAAATGTTGGAGAGGTTGCAGGGAGATTGGAGCTCTTATGTACTGCTGGTGGAAATGTAAAATGGGAAAATGATATGGTTTTCCTTAAAACCATATCGTTTCCTTAACAAGGCAGAAATAGAAATACCATGCGATCCAGCAGTCCCACTCCTAGAAATATATTCTAGAGAAATAAGAGCAATCATACGA